TAGATCTCGAAACAGTAGGGTCTTTATAAAGAGACAGAATGTGACAAAAACTTTGATTTCCTGGTTTTCTTAAGGCCAAATATTTAAGAGTTGAATTTAAAGATGATAAGCAGTTTTCTTCCACAAAGAGTTCTAAATATACTGTTTATGTGATGACCCATAGCTATTAATAATAGCGCATGCTACCTAGTGGGTATATTCCTAAAAACAAAACAGACCATCTTTTCAAAGTGAAGTTATCACTTTAGGGGCACCTAGGTGGCCCAGTTGGTTAGGTGTCTTGACTCTTGATTTCGGCTCAGGTCATGATCTCAGGGTAGTAAGACTGAGCCCTGTCTTGGGCTCTGCGCTCAGCATGGACTCTGCTTGAGACAGTCTCTCTCCCACTCCCTCTGCACCCCCCAAAAGGAAGTCAAGGTATCACTTTAATAATGAATGAGAAAGTAACTGCTTCTCAGGGCACCCGGCTGGCTAGGTTGGTAGAGTGTGAGACTCTTGATCTTGGGATTGTGAGTTCAAGCCCCATGTTGGGTACAGAGATTACTTAAAAATAAAATCTTAAAAAAAAAAAAAAGAAAGAAAGAAAAGAAATGAAAAATGAAAAACTGGAGCACCAGGGTGGCTCAGTCAGTTGAGTCCTCCGCCTTCAGCTCAGGTCATGATCTCAGGGTCCTGGGATTGAGCTCCCGCATCGGGCTCTCTCCTCAGCAGGGAGACTGCTTCTCCCTCTCCTCCCCCAAACCCTGCCTTGTGTTCTCTCGTTCTCTGTCAAATAAGTAAATAAAATCTTTAAAAAGAAAAAAAAAAAAAAAAGGAAAAAGTGATTTTCAAAGGATACCTGTACTGCAGAGAAGACATTCTGGAAAATTGTATTTGGGAAATGTTTCCAGCCATACATGATTTTGTTACTAAAACTATTAAAAATAGTCTATTTTTTAAAGTCCTCTACATAGGTTATAAAAAATTTGAAAACACAAGATTATCCCAGTGAATCAAAAAATCTTAAAAGAATTTTTTAAAAATATGTTCTAGGGGCACCTGGGTGGCTCAGTGGGTTAAAGCCTCTGCCTTCGGCTCAGGTCATGATCCCAGGGTCCTGGGATCGAGCCACCAATTGGGCTCTCCGCTCAGCAGGGAGCCTGCTTCCTCCTCTCTCTCTCTCTGCCTACTTGTGATCTCTGTCAAATAAATAAATAAAATCTTTTAAAAAATAAAGTAGGTTCTAAAGTTAATCTTTTACATATATAAAAATGCAACAACTTCCAATCAATTGGCAAGAAAAACTGAGACTAAGGAAGAAGGGAATGTCACAACCAATTTCAACACAATCCTGTGCATAATTGATTTTTGAGAATCTAAACATTACGAATGTCGCCAATGATGTGATTCTTCCATTTGGATCTATGAATCTTTGCCAGGTTATCTTTTTCACTCATGAAAATCATTAAAATCAAGAGTCAAAAGCAACTGAATTTGGAATCAGAACTTTAAAGAGTTCGGACACCTGAGTAGCTCAGTCAGCAGAGTGTCTGCCTTCCGCTCAGGTCCTGATCCCAGAGTCCTGGGATGAGTCCTGTGACCCACTCCCTGCTGAGCAGGGAGCCTGCCTCTCCTTCTGCCTTCCGCTCCCCCTGTGTGTGCAGATTCACACACGCACGCTGTCAATCTCTGGCAAATAACATAAAATCTTAAAAATTAAAAAAAAAGAACTTTGAAGAGTTATAGCTAAGTATCACATCAAAATGTATTCTAGTTCATACACAGCACACTAGAATTGATAAATCAGCAAGAGCAAATGTCTACTGAATGCTTTAATATTTTAACTGGGCATATCCTTTGCCTTCAAGAAACAGAACTATAATCTCAGGTTAAGTCTAGCCATAAACTGTTATGTTAACAATCCTGAAGTCAAATTGTAAATTCAATTATTACCACCTGGGGCCCCTGGGTGGCTCAGTTAGTTACGCATCCAACTCTTGATTTGGGCTCGGGTCATGATCTCAAGAGTCCTGAGATCAGGGTTGGAATCCATGTAGGGCTCTACTTAAGATTCCCCTCTCCCTCTCTCTCTCTCCCTGCCCTTACCACCTTCACCACAAAACCCCTCTGCCCCTCCCCACACACGTGTGTTCTCATTCTCTCAAAGAGAAACAAAACATGAAAAAACAAAATAGAACCAAAAAAACAAAATATCACTACCTCTGATTTCCCATGAAGATTAAAACTACACAAATAAGAGTGCCTGGCACAGTGCCTGAAATAAACAGATGCTCAATAAACTTAACTGCCTTTTCCCTAGCTTGAAGCCAGTTATTAGAGAATAAGGGGCCTGGGGCCCCTGGGTGGCTCAGTGGGTTAAGCCTCTGCCTTCGGCTCAGGTCATGATCTCGGGGTCCTGGGATTGAGCCCCGAACTGGGCTCTCTGCTCAGCAGGGACTCTGCTTCCTCCTCTCTCTCTGCCTGCCTCTCTGCCTACTATGATCTCTGTCAAAGAAATAAATAAAATCTTTGAAAAAAAGAGAGAGAGAGAGAGAATAAGGGGCTTAAGAATGACAGATTTGAATTCTCACGGTACCACTTGTTATCTAACTTTGGGCACATTTTTTAATTCCAACTTTAAAATAGAAATAATAGGGTGCCTGGGTGTCTCAGTTGGTTAAGCCATTGCCTTCGGCTCAGGTCATGATACCGGAGTCCTGGGAACAAGTCCCACGTCGGGTTCCCAGCTCCATGAGGAGTCTGCTCTGACCTTCTCCCCTCTCATGCTCACTCTCTCGCTCTCTCTCAAATGAATAAATAAAATATTTTTTAAAAATAAAATAAAATAGAGGGGCACCTGGATGATGAGTCATTAAGCATCTGCCTTCGACTCGGGTCGTGATCCCAGGGTCCTGGGATCAAGCCCCGCATCAGGCTCCCCCCTCGGCGGGAAGCCTGCTTTTCCCTCTCCCACCCCCCTGCTTGTGCTCCCCTCTCTCGCTGTGTCACTCTCCGCGAAATAATAAACAAAATCGTTTAAAAAAAATATATAAATAATAATATCCACCTTATTGGGTTAATGTGACAAGTCATTAAAAAATAATGCCTAAAGTCACTCAACCCATAAAAGACAATAAACGTCTAATCCTCCTCCTCTAAGATAGCTTATTCATACCTATACTAGAAGTATGTAGATTCATGGGCCATTGAACTTAAAAATATCCATCAGGGGGCACCTAGGTGGCTCAGGTCATGATCCCAGCCAGGGTCCTGGGATCAACCACCGCGCCAGGCTCTCTGCTCAGCAGGGAGCCTGCTTCCCTTCCTCTCTTTCTGTCTGCCTCTCTGCCTACCTGTGATCTCTGTCTGTCAAATAAATAAATAAAATCTTTTTAAAAAAATAAAAATTAAAAAAAATATATCCATCAGAATCCCTATCTTCAGCTACGAATTACAGCAATATACTACCCTGACACAGTGTGTGGCATGAAATGCGTACTCCATTAATGTTTATTAAACTCAGGTGAATTACTACAGCTACTGTCACTAAGCCAACAGGCAGCTTGGGCTACCATGCCCTAGCCTGGCGTGGGACTAGGTCTACGCACACCAGTGCTCTTTCCACTATCATTTGTGGTCTCCCTAATTAATTCATCTACTCACTGAAAAAAAAAATACATGTTTATTCATATTAGTACAAATTCATCGAAGGGTCATAAGATGTTAGCATAATTTGAGTTTTTTGGTTTTCTGAGGCTAAGGAAGTCATTACTCTGTTAACAAACACTTTTATATGAAAGTAAAAAATACTGCATCTGCGTTCGGCTCAGGTCATGATTTCAAGATCCAGGAACTGAGCCCCACATCCAGCTTCCTGCTCAGCAGGGAGCCTGCTTCTCCCTCTCCACCCTGCTCGTGTGTTCTCACGCTCTCTCTCTCTAATAAATAAAATCTTAAAAAAAAAAAAGATAAAAAATATTTAAACTTTTTAAACAGCTTAAATGGGGGGGGGGTACTTTTGTTTTCAACGATCACCAGCAAGTCACCTTTGTTTATAACTTCCTAAATGTAACCTGTGTAGGAATGCTTTTAGACGAGTGAAACTACAATGGCACAACCAACTCAAACCGCCAGCAGCAAACTCCAGCCAACAAATAAAGCGTTGGGGGAAGGAGAGAAGCCTTGCTCAACTCAAGGCTGAATACAGTTTGAAAGGACTACGCACTGAATATACAAATGTAGGTACAACCGTATGGGGCGAGTTAAACAACACGTGTACGACACCTGTAAGACCCACAGAGTCAACTCACAGCCTCTGGCTGACAGATACCAAACAGATTTTTAAAGGTCTGAAAACTGCAGCCTCAGCGCTTTTGCAACACCTGCTTTTACGATCTGTCACGTGAAGCCAATAAGCACAACTAACCAGCACTACTAGGGCCGCACAACCACTCACAGGCTGGCCTCGTAAACGTACCGTCAAGTGAACGCAGGTAAACCCTGCGGTCGGAGGCCTTCGCCTAACTTCCTTCCAGACGGCAGACGCTGTACGGGGACCGCGGTGTTCCAGCACTCAACCCAAAATAAATAAAGGAATAACTAGAAATTCGGACATCCCCAAAGGTCTTCCTCATCCTCAATCTTTCCAGAGCGCCATCCCACGAAATAGGATTTGTTTGCCACGGAAACCCGCGACCCCTGCTACCCAAGAGTCAGCCCCGGTCACCACCTTCCAAGGACCCCTCGAGGCCAGCTTCCCAAAGCCCCCAAACCACTAACACAACTGCTTCCTTCAATGTAGACTCCATCACCTCCGTTAAGTTTCTGACGCACGTGATTTGGGGACGCAAACTTGCTAGAAACAGACTAAACACTTGAACACGTTTCTGTGAGCCCTGCCACACTTGGATCCGAACGGTTCCCAGGGAGGGTCTGAACGTCAACAAGCTCGGGGGACACTCGCTCAAATCGCCCTAAGGAGGGGAGCGAGACCCTCCCGGCTGGCCGCCGGCGGCTCTTACCCATTTGTCCAAGGGGACTTGGGCGAGGGACCCGGTGCCCTGGTACAGGTCCAGGCTGAGCTGCTCCAGGCTCAGCTTCTCCTGCAGGAAGTGGCCCAGGTACCTCTGCAGAAGGTACCGACAGGCTCTCTTCTTGATGGACTCGGAAAACGGCCAAGGCATGATGGGGGCTGACGACGCGGCCCGCGGGGGCTGCAGGCGGCGACTCGGGCGCTGGGGCCCAGGCTTCCGCTCCAGGCCGCGGCGGCGGCGGTGCCTCGGGTCCCGGCCGGCGTCCCGGGTCCGCGGCGGGGCCTAAGCCCGGGACAGCACCTCCATGCCCGCTCGGCGCCGGGCGTCCCTCAGAGCGACCCCATCACCCGCGCCGCGCGGCTCGCGCTAGGCCTGGCGGGGACCCGGCACGGGGTGGGAGTGCGGGGCCTCCGCGAGGATCCTCGCAGCCACGGGATGAGGATGCAAGAAAACACCGCGGGAGGCGGCAGGGCCCGAGGCAGATACTGAGGCGCACTCCTCCACAGCCGCCGCGCGACGAATTTGTTGTCATCCGCGGGGCGCGCTCCCGGTTCTGGGACGCTCCCGGCGCGTTCGCGACACCCACACTCGCGGCGCGCGGCCGGCGCTGGAGGAAGTGACGCCACACTAGCGCTGAGGAGGCGGGGAGAAGGGCCCTGAAGGGAGCGGTTCCGGCTCCGAGGGGGCGGGACGGCGCGAGGGCGGGAGGCGGGACGGCGCCGCGAGTCGGCTCCTGACGCTTCGGGAGGGAGGAAGAGGAGGACGCTGGGCGCTGGGAGGTGAGCGGTCGCAGGGGAGGCGGCGGGCGGGCGGCTGCCGAGAGGGGCGAGGGCCGGGGGTCCTGCGAGCGGGACGCGGCGCAGCGGGCGGGACCGTGGGGGGCGACGGCGGAAGGGGCCCGGTGCCCGGGTTGACAGGGGTCTGGGGGCGCGCCTGGCCTGGGCAGTCCGGTTACCTGGGACCCCGACCCTGGAAACGGGGCTCGGAACGCCACGGGCCCCGGGCGAGGGGCTGCAGGGTCTCTCGGTCCTTCCTGCCGCCGCGCGCCGGCTCCCCCCAGTCTCCCCCGCCCCGGGTATTGACCGGTGCCCATTGTCAGCAAGTTACTCGTCCCCCGCGTCTTTCAGGTATTGTTTCCAGAGCTTCATCTTCGTCCTGTTTGCCTAGCGGCTTGCAGTTGGCAGAGCGCTTTCTTCGTGCTGGGTGCGCTGCACCGGGCCCCGGGAAACTTGAGTTGTGGAGGCATCTGTGGGCAGGACCGCTTTCCCTGCTCAATGCCCGAGCCTCCGGACCCCGCGGAAACCTGAGCGAAGTACTTGCGCTGCTCTGGGAATCTGCGCCACCGTATTCCTGCCTTTTAGGGGGCAGCTCCTGCAGAGGCCGAGCCGCCCTTTAACTTGGTCAGCCCCGAAAGGCCTGCGCGCTTGTGTTTGGTGTCCTGGAGGCCAATGCCCGGGGTTAGAATCCTGACGAGCCGAGCTGGAGGAGGGGGCGAACCTAAGCAGCGCACCGGTGCAGAAGGTTCAGTTAGGGGTGGGGAGTTAAGACGAGGGTTTCAGGAGATTTTATTGCTTCGAGGGTAACTTCCACCAAGACAGCCCGGAAATGTTGACAGATGGCGAAAGCTCCGGTTCCCCTATTCCACAGCCACTTTCGCATTTGAGAACCGGCGTGCTCTCTGGTGTGTGTAGTTGCTTTGATTGTTGGTCCCCTCGTTCTTCGTGTGTCCTAAGCATTCTCGGGTCACTTCAGTTCCCTTACTCTTGGTTCATTCAGCAGTGTTTGTTAAGGGCCCATTAAATGAAGGTCTTCACAGTTGGTGATGTGGAAAAGGTAGAAAAGAATTCCCGGAGTTTATGTTCTACGGTGAAAGGGCCGTTATTTGATTCAGTAAATATTTATTTGTTGCCTGCTGTGGTGCCAGAGACTGTTCTCGGTGCTGGGGATAGAGCAATGAACTGATTAGGTTCCTGGCCTCACGGAGCTTATATTTTATTGAAGGGAAGAGAAGCAAACAATAATTAAATATATTGTGGACCCTGCGCTGGTAAGTGCTATAGGAAAAAAAAGAAAAGCGATATGAAGATAATGGAGAGGGAAGAGATTGTCACTTGTATACAGAGGGGTGAAGAGAAGGCCTCTCTTATTTAATAAGGTGATATTTTAGCAGAGTCTTGGAGAACACTGGGGAGCAAGGGGTGTTGTTTTCCATGGCAGGGGAAAGCAAGGGCAAGGCCCTGTGGCAAGGGCTTTGCTTGGTGAGTTCAGGGAGCACGGGGGGGGGGGGGGGGGGGGGGGGGGGAAGGAAATAAAGAGAGGGGGGGGCGGTGGGGGCTTGGGTGGGGGTAGGTCCTAAAGGGCCCTATAAGGACTTTGGCCTTTTACTCTGGGTAGGTGAATGGGTTCGAGAAAGAAGGGACACAGTCTAGCCTAAGCCTCTATGGGATTATGTTAACTGCGGTGTGGAGGTGGGAGGACCTAAGGAGAAAAGGTCAGAGCAGTTAGAAATTTTTTTTTTAAAGATTCTTTATTTATTTATTTATTTGACAGAGAGAGAGATCACAAGTAGGCAGAGAGAGAGGAAGGGAAGCAGGCTCCCTGCTGAGCAGATAGCCCGATGTGGGGCTCGATCCCAGGACTCCGGGATCATGACCTGAGCTGAAGGCAGAGGCTTTAACCCACTGAGCCACCCAGGTGCCCCCAGAGCAGTTAGAAATTATTGCCGGAATCCAGGCTCCAAAGGCAGTACCTTAGACTACAGTAGTCGGGGTCAAGACAGTAAGAAGCAGTTAGATTCTAGATATATTTTGAAGATGATAAGTAAGACATATTTATGAATAATAATTATATTTGCCATAAAAGGGGTATAAACAAAGTGATGAAAAGGTGGAATCTCCTTTGGCAGGGCGTTGGAATAGGCCTTGTGAGGTTTGAACCAGACTTTCGACAGATACAGTTGACTTCTTTCTTTCCAGTCCAAATGTTAAGTGATTTCGTTTGGAATAGAGGATTGCATTCAGCCTGTCCATGGAATGCCTGAAATTTCAAATTTCAGGAAAGGGAAATAAAAATCGGAAGTTTTTTTTTAATAAACAATCTCCCTTTGAGTGTTACCGGTGTTGCCTTGCATGTTTTATGCTCTCTAGGAGAAAGAATAATTGTTAAGGCTTAGAACCTAGCATTATTATGCTTTTAGCTCAAATAGGGTATGAACTCACCCTAAATCACAGTGCTATTTTTGTGTTTTAGCAGAGTACCGTCACAAAATGGAACACCTAGTGGTAAGTGAGGAAGGTGAAGAAACATGGTCAACCAAACGCTCAGCTGCCAGCTTTTTAAGAATTCTGTGAAAGGGGGCGCCTGGGTGGCTCAGTGGGTTAAAGCCTCTGCCTTCGGCTCAGGTCATGATCCCAGGGTCCTGGGATCGAGCCCCATATCGGCCTCTCTGCTCCGCAGGGAGCCTGCTTCCTCCTCTCTCTCTGCCTGCCTCTCTGCCTACTTGTGATCTCTGTCTGTCAAGTAAATAAATAAAATCTTAAAAAAAAAAAAAAAAAATTCTGTGAAAGGCTTTGAAGTGACAGGTTAGAGGCTACAGACCAGAGCTATGCACATCCTTCAGAGAAAGCCATGTTAACGTGTGAAACAAAAGTGGATGACATGCTGTTGGCCTTTTGATACTTGCACTTGAGGTAACAGGAATATGATGTTAGGGCTCCCACATTGCATGGTTCTGGAAGCAGTACAGGAGGGCAGCAGCCACAGGACTTTACGTGATGTGAAAAGCACCAGACTCAGTTAAATCGCTTGAGTTTCAAAGTCAGCTCTTCGTTAACCATCTTTTTAATATGTCACAATAAACAGGTATTTCTTGAGCTTAGCACAATGCTAAGCACGTTCCATATGTACTTGTGGTATCCCATTAGGTGATTCTGTGGTTGGCTTCATTTTAGAAAGGAGGAATGTGTGACCAAAGAGACTTAAGTATCTTGCCCCAAGGCCCAGAGTAGGTCACAGAGCTGAGATCTTGGCGGTGTTTGAAACCGTTTGAAACCCTTTAACCACCGCACCTATGGGCTGGCCACTTCTTGTTCTTACTGAGAGGATTTTCCAGACTGTGATATAGGATACAAATAAAAAGTCATCCTGATTAAGATACTGCATTCTAGCCCTCTGCTGACTGTTGGGATGTCATCTGTAAAGTCAGATTCTCATAGTGAAAATTGGAAATCTGTATACTGCTCTTGAAATCATTTTATTTTGCCTCTGTTCTATTTTTTAAGATTCTATGTATTTGAGAGAGAGAGAAAGAGCATGAGTGTGGGGGGAGGGGTGTAGAGGGAGGAGGAGAAGCAGACTCCCCACCAAGCGGAGCCTTGTACAGGGCTCCATCCCAGGACCCGGAGATTGTGACCTAAGCCAAAGGCAGATTCTTAACAGACTGAGTCACCCAGGTGCCCCTGCTTCTATTCTTTTGTCATGCATATATATAAGCGTTGTCTTCAGGAACAAATCTATAGTATTTTTCAGCTCTTTGATGCAGTAAATTTGTGATGAAACACAACAAAGTCTATTAAATCAAGTAGAGAATGAAGAACTCCGTGATAAATACCTTGGTAATCAGTTCATCAATCCTCCAAAACACTAACATAGCACAAAAATCATACCCACAGGTGAAGTAAGAGCTGGTTCCTGAGGTGCCTGGGTGGCTCACTCCGTTAAGCATCTGCCTTTGGCCCGGGTGTTGATCTGCAGTCCTGGGATGGAGTCCTACATGGGGCTCACTGATTGGTGAGGAGTCTGCTTCTCCCTCTCCCTCTGCCTCTTTCCCCTGCTTGTGTTCCCTCTCTCTCTCTCAAGTAAATAAATAAATAAAATCTTTAAAAAAAAAAAAAAAAAAAGAGCTGGTTCCTAAATAATTGATGTATGATGGTACCACAACGTTCTGGAAATGTTCTATGAGGTGATGCAGTCTACCAGAATAACTAATAGCACCCAGAAGATATTCCAGTTTTGTTAAGGTGCTGGCAATGGCATATTCCTCAGAACCTGGTAGGGAGCCAATTTAGAGTCAAAATGGAAAGCAGAGAGGTTTTCTATTTTATATCTCTTTAGATATTGATTTGTCTTATTTTACATCTAATGTACTTATATTAGATATTGTACCCAATCCTCTGTGTAACCTAGAGGATTACATGGAAACAAAAAACTTAAAACCTGGAGGGTTTTTTTAAGCATTCAGTTTTTTTCTTAGAATCTCATTTACAATTTCTGGATTTGAGGGAAGGGTTGTTCACAGAGGTGCAGTATTGCTGCTTATCTATACTTTACAGGCCTTCTCAGATTAATACTGTCTGCATGCTTCTTCACTGTTAGCTCCCTCCGTAATTGATTTGTTATTACTCGGTCATGTATATGTGTC